GATGGAGGCTGGCCTCAGGAGTTGTGGCTGAGGGTGATACGTGTATTGAACAATGGAGGAGGGGAAGGGGAGGAGCCTCATTAACATCCAGTAAAGTATTATGTTTTCAGGGTTTCCATAAACATCATAGAAAAGAAGCCGTTGCCCCCGGCAACATGTAAATCCCGCGCAACAAACATTCCAAATCCGAAAACTCAGCAACAGCGAGGCGAGCGTCTACAGCGGCCAAATCTTCTTATAATTGCCCCTCGTGTAGGGCGGAGATCCTCGGAGTGAGTGCCGGCCGGCGGAGATCCTCGGAGTGAGTGCCGTGCCGGCGGAGATCCTCGGAGTGAGTGCCGGCCGCCGGCGGAGATCCTCGGAGTGAGTGCCGGCCGGCGGAGGAGGAGATCCTCGGAGTGAGTGCCGGCCGCCGGCGGAGATCCTCGGAGTGAGTGCCGGCCGCCGGCGGAGATCCTCGGAAAAGGAAACGCTTTGTGTCCAAATCTCTGATCCCGCCAAACAAATGACAAACGCAACAATTCATACCGGCCATGCGGCGCGACGCACACGGAATTGGCTTTTACGAACTGGTGAGGGGGCGTGTACATCTGGCTCTGCCTCTATATGGGAGGAGCCAGCTGTCACTCACGCAGCTGGGCGGAGCCAGACACAATTTTCCCGGCTGTGGCGTCTCAGTATACCGCGAGCTGTAGCCTGCCATATACTGAGCCTAGGGTGACGGGAGGACGCTAGTTTGTGTCCCCGAGGAGGACTATGGGGGGGGAAAGCCCCGCCCCCGTACTTCTCCTTTTAAACAGTAGAAAGTTTCCCGGCACACTCACCGGCCGGCGTATAAAAGAACTCGTCGCACCGCTGAGGGTGACAACAGAGGTTCAGATACGCGTCTTCTGCAAAACATGTGACCGCCGCGCCGAGGCTCCTCGATCGATGCGCGGCCAGTCAGGCTATGGATGCGCGGCCAGTCAGGCTATGGATGCGCGGCCAGTCCGGCTATGGATGCGCGGCCAGTCAGGCTATGGATGCGCGGCCAGTCAGGCTATGGATGCGCGGCCAGTCCGGCTATGGATGCGCGGCACGTCAGGCTATGGATGCGCGGCACGTCAGGCTATCGATTTTACAGTATCTGATCCCACATACACGAGGGGCGTGAGCTCTGCACGAGGGGGCAATTGTACACGAGGGGCGTGAGCTCTGCACGAGGGGGCAATTGTGCACGAGGGGCGTGAGCTCTGCACGAGGGGGCAATTGTGCACGAGGGGGCAATTATAAGAAGATTTGGCCGCTGTAGACGCTCGCCTCGCTGTCGCTGAGTTTTGGGATTTACATGTTCCGGTCTAGTTACTTCGCCTCATCCGGGATTTCCTTGTTGCCGGGGGCAACGGCTTCTTTTCTATGATGTTTAGTTACACGCCTTCTGCAGAACATGTGACCGCTGTGCCGAGGCCCCTCCCATAGTGCGGTCCTATGAGAGCCGCCATCTTGGAGCACATGGGGGCAGAAGATGACATTGGGTGCAGGTTCCCCAGGGGGAAGCCCGACCTCCTTTAAAGGTACAGCGACACACAAAGGGCCCCCGCACATCACAGTGGGGCCCCATCCCGGTCCTAACTCTAAACTCATAGGTCAGAGTCGGGGCCACACTATGGGAGGGGCCTGAGGTTGGGCGCCGGCCGGTGTAGGTGGAGAGGGGCCCCAGGTTGGGGGGGGGGGGTATCGGGTGGTGGGGCGGCTTG